AAAAGGAAAACGAAGAAAACAAGAAAACGGAAAAAATAAAAGAAAAGCGAAACGATCGAATCTCGGGGAAGGAGAATTAAGCGAGGACCGTAGAAAATCGAAGTCTATTTCGTCTGAAGTGTTTTCTATGAATAGCACGTAAAGCAATTCTGAGATACAATAATAAAGTTAATTACCATTAATCAGAGGAACAATTTTGTATAAAATACATCGAAACAGACTGTAATTGTGATCGTCTAATTTGATGGATATTAAAAGAAAAAAAATGCTATTTAATTTCGTATGTGGTCGCATGGAAATAGCTGGTGTACATTGAATAGGATCGATGCAATAGATATACCTCTCTCTTTCTCTATCTGTCTGTCCGTCTGTCCGCCTGTCTATCCGCCTCTCTGTCTGCCGGTTTCGTTTTCGTGGTTGATGTCGCCGGGAATTGATGACCAGAAGGGAACTGGAGAGAGTTTTGTCATTTGATGATCCGAATCGAGATTCGAACAGTTGTAATTGAAACTTTTAAACGATCAGAATGCCGACGTGTTAAAATATGTTTCTTCTAGTCGACGGGAGGTCGGCGCAAGGAAATTAATTGTTTAAATTGTAACGATGTTTCGTTGTTTGGAAGGAGGAAGGTGAAAAGCTTCATCGATCACCAGAGATTTTAAATAGATATTCCAACGATTCTGATTATATGGTAAACTTTAGTTGTATTAGTTGTAACAATAATTGAGGCTGACGTCGCGTTTTTATAACTGAAATACGAAGAGGTAAGAGAAAAGAATAGGTCCTGTTGAGTGACAAGACCGTCGTGCGCATACATTTTAGTATGGACACTAAGATATAAAGGCAATGTGTACTTATAATATCCCGCGGTAACGAACGCCGATTTGTTTTTCCATTTGGCAGAATTTCCGAAAATTTACGATACGTTGGGAACGCGGAGGGAATTTAAAGCGTACAGAAGGCTTCAACACCTCCATCAGTTAATTCTTTTGGTAATTAAATCGCGAGAACGCTGCATCTCAATCTATCAGAAGTTGGAGACCAATATTTACTAATATTTAAGTTTACCAAACATTTATTTAATCCCTTATGACATAATCTTTAATATTATTCTTTAAGAAATCTGTTTTAGTAATCCTTATCGCCATAATAATTTATCATACGTTTAAACAACGATTATAGTTTTGTCTCTAAACTATAATGGTAAAAATGGACTCAAACTTGTGATAGTCGATGTAAATTATTATTTTGTGCACGCTACTGTTCAGAAACGAAGGTGCACGACTACCGTTACGAAGAATTTCGTTAGTTCTTTCTCATAAATTCTTTATCTGTTTATTATTTATTTTAATTAAGATGTGTACTTACATATTCTTGTGTTGATAGAGTGTGCCCTGTCTTCTGATCGGTGGTGTAATGTAATAAGCATTTTCTATAAGTATTATAGTTCCCCTTCGAAGAGCCCGAGGCTTCTTCTATAATAGTTTTCGTCTGTGATCACGAATGTCCTAGATGTAAAAAGGGAAATTAGTCTCCTAATTACGCTTAAGTTCGATCCTCGCGTGTGTACGATAGGAAAGGCGACGAGGCTTTACGAACGAATCGCATGTTGTACTTACACAGATCCTGAGCGATTCAAAGATGAACTGCAAAGTGTCCTCCCCTGCAAAAGATAAAAGGAAAAGAAAATAAAACATCATATCTCGCCCGTCAGAGAAATCTCGGCAATATTCTTTTTCTTAGCCTCTACCGCTCGTTCGAATCGAAAGTATACCGGGTACCAAGATGGCGGACGCGTGGAGACACTCCCGGAGATCCAAAAAATCGTAAATATAAACGACACAATTTGAAAAGTTCTTTTGAAACTAAGAGTACATCACATGTCTTAATACGTTCTATATTTAAGAAAATGAAATTAACGCTATAAATATCGTTATTTAAAATTATAAGATACGATATTACGTTAAGGAACTCAATGGCTCGCTTTAGTTTCACTTTTCCAATATTTTCTTTAAAAGATCTGTTATATTGAATGGAATGTTACAATTGAAAAGATCGTCAGTGAAACAAACGCTGTTAGTCGACGTGTTAAGTTCTTATAAATTATTTAATCGGAATTTTCTATTTTGTACACGACCGTTAAACGAACGAAGAAGATCACGATAAGATATTTGGACGATTTCGAAAATCTTCGGGAAATAGTCCACGTTTCCGCGATCATCGATTCGTTTTGTAACACCGACCACGAATTTTCGAGATCGCGGGAGTGCATAGATCATTTTGGAAACGAGACACGACGAGATTCTTTTATCGAGGGTATGACCAATTCGTTCCACGAAGACAGAGATGACCGTTTGTAATATATATTTTCGCCGCGATTCGAAATACGAGAGATGGTTAGAACGTTTTCCGAGGGGAACGTAGGATTTATAAAGTAATAATCGTCGATTAACCGTAGAAAATGGCATTGGACTTGTTTATAATTCAACGTAAGAGAGGAGAAGTGAGAAGACGTTGCGCGAGTACGTATCGAACCGAGGGGAAAGCCGATTTCTGTCTCGTTCCGGAAGTTCCACCGATAATACCTCCGACTTCTGAGACTCTCTCAACGCCTACCGCCCACTCTTAGCAGTTCCTGTTTAGCGCTTGGACAATGTTTTAGCGAATCATTGTCGTCGTTCGGCGAGACAACGCGTCTCGAACCTACATACTGTTTAGAGTTCTACTGGATCAAGCTCGATACATTCAAAAGTGTATAGTACTCAGCAATGTAGGCACCTTATATCCAATAAATACTTGTAGATTTGAGTATTGCGTTTGTTGGACAACCCTGAATTTATATCCACCTTATATTTATATGGTACCATTCTTATTCTTTCAAATTTAAATTGTAGATATTTCCTTGTTATTATTCTTTCAAATTTAAATTCTGGACATCTTATTACAATTATTAGTTTTTCACATTTATATCGTAGACATTTTCTTATCATTACCATCCTTTCAAATTTAAATTCCAGATGTCTTATTACAATTATTATTTTTCAAGTTCGAATTGTAGACATTTCATTGTCATTACTTTCTTCACCCATCACTTTTTATTTATAAATTTCCTTCGTGCATTTCACGAGAAAAATCTGATTTAAGATTATTTAAGTATTATAATCTCCGGTGACACGATGCCATAAACACTTTGTTTTGTTTGGCGCGTATCGTTTTCCGTTAAGATTTCTAATTCTACAGGCAGCTGGTCTGAAATTACATACGCGCCCGCCAACGACACATGATGCACGGGACACAATTGATTTCGCAATCTAAAACGAGATCCTCATTAATCTTCGTATGATTAATGAACCGCATCCGTGTTTTGTTGATAAACGAAGCAAGGGGCAGGAGCGACGTCTTATTCACCGTTATCAACGAGTTGTCTTTTGAATGAATTAATTTGGATTTATCGTACGGCATTGTGGAAAATATCTTATTGTCGTAAGATTACGGGAATAAAAGGAACTGTGCGTCATTCTGACATTAAATAATTATAAAACAGTTCTGAGCAAGTAACGCAACTTTATCTGACATTTTAAACTGCATCTTGTAATCATTATGTAAACAACTGCATGGTTATGAAAACAATATTCTTACAGGAATATATTTTATCAAAATATTATTTTTAACGTGCTTTAGTATCTACAGTAATGTATATTTAAAAAGAAAATTGACTGTTGGCAAGAATAATGTAAATATTCGATATTTTCTGGCTTACTCCCTTACTCGTACACCTACAGACAGAAACAACATAATATACAATCATCAAAAGGTTTCTCAATTAGCGTTCTATTAGGACGGTGCGCCGTGCACCGCGTTGCCATTGCAGTTCTGCGACGAAGTTCATCGAGAGCGTACTGTAAAACGTCTTCGAACGAGATTTCGATAGAGATCTTTCCGAAAAATAGTCAACCCTTGTAATTATACTTTAAAATTACATATTCAGTGGAATTATTTAAATCAGTTCTCGAACTAGAAACGAAATATTCACTTTCTATGATTTATTACATTAAGAACTGCACGTTCAGATATAAAGTGATATATTTACCTAATTCAATTTTATAGCTTCCCCAATCAAATTCGATTAACGCCTATACCTAATTATCGCCCAAGCTAAATCTATAAATAAGAATTATCGAAATTATTTATAGAAACAAGAAAACAGTAAAACCCAACCTGACCAAGGATCAGAATAGATCGCAGACAGGATGTCGTACATCTCGCAAACAGCATTAATCGTCGAGGACGTATCAGACTGAAGGCTAGGTATGGGTTTACCGCGACGGTGTCGGATTTCCGGTCCGACCAGTCCGTTCGAATTTTTTCCGTGATCCCGCTTTTTACCTATCAGTTTCTCTAGACTTATAAGCGCGACCTTAATTCCGCGGTCTACTCCTAACAGTCGCGGATCGAACGAGATATTGTCAGGATGGACCGTTGGGCAGGCAAAGTGGCGGTGGTCGTTGGCGCCAGCTCCGGAATTGGCGCGGCAATTGCCAAACAATTGGTGAAAAACGGTGAGTAATACGACTCCTACCAATATACCCTCCTCCATACTCGAATACAAAACTGTTACAATTAAAAAGAAGGGCTAAAGTACCGAAGATGCAACGATGAGACACAGGATACAATATTTTCTTCCGATTCTATTGAAACAGAATATTCAAGACAAATTTTATAAATTCTAAAGAGAATATTTTAATTTAATTGTATTCGTAAACATTTTTTGAAGGTATGCTGGTGGCTGGACTAGCAAGAAGAGTGAACAAAATAAAGGAAATCGCGGATAGTCTCGAAGACTGTTCCGGGAAGCTTCACGCGGTCGAATGCGACGTCTCCAAAGAGGAGAGCGTCGTTTCCGCTTTCGCTTGGGTGCAGGAGAACTTAGGATCCGTGAACGTGTTGGTCAACAGTGCTGGGATTACGAAAGAGTCTTCGTTAATAGGTACAACTCATCATCGTCTTTATGTGCATTATACAAAATTCACTTGAAATTTCCAATCATTCGTGAACTTTCGATTGGTTTTCTTATTTATATAAAAATGAATTTCTGTTTAAGATGGTAATCTGGAGGATTGGCGGGCAGTTCTTGACGTAAACGTGCTCGGTCTGTGTATCTGTACGCGGGAAGCCGTTCGAATGATGAGGGAGGATGGGGGAGAGGGTGTCGTGATTAACGTGAACAGCCTCGCAGCTGAACGAGTCCCCTTTATTCCTGGATTTTCCATTTATCCAGCATCGAAGAGGACTATCGCTGCTCTGGCTCAAACCCTGCGGCACGAACTGACGGGAACTCGAATACGTGTCACGGTACAGCTATTCAACCCTTCTTAACACGTTCGCTACCAGCGTCACATATTTGTGACAGGCGCAATCGTATATTTTACATAAAGCAAATGAAATTAATCTTATAGATATTATTATTTAAAGTTATAAGCTACGGCACTATATTTAGAAACTCAATAACCTTGTTTCAGTTTTATTTTCGATATTTCGTTTAAAAGATTTATCGGATTGAATAAAATATTACAATTGAGGAGGTCTTCACCGAAATAAACGTTAGTAGCGAACGTGTTAACCTGATTTTAGTTTCCTTTAAACAGCATTCTATCATGTGAGAAGCAAATTGTAATTGCAATAATGGATTGCAAGTGAAAATACATTTTAACACTTTGATTGCCACATCTCCCGAATTCGGATGATATTGTTTTTTTACGTAAAAAGCTTAAATAATAGAGTAATTGTTATGAAGAATTTTGATTTTTTAGTTTTAGCTTTATTAAGAAAACTGTTTCGACTGCATAAGTGTTTTGATGAGTGTTTGTTTGGTAATTAAAGTGTTGAATAGAAAATGAAACATATTTTATAGTTATATTAAGTACAAACATATTTTTCACAGGGTATAAGCCCAGGGCTAGTTGCCACTGAGTTGATGGTGTCCTACAGTACATACTCCGAGGAAGCTTTAGCATCGTTTCCGACATTAGACCCGGATGATGTGGCAGCGGCAGCCATTTACATCTTATCGTGTGGCCCTCACGTTGTTGTAAGTATTTTTCAAGTATGTTTAGTAAAAAACATAGCTTATTTTTTTTTAATCGAAGACGCTTCCTTTAAACGACACACTTCAACCTTCTTCATCATGTAACAAATATTATTGCTAGGATTTTTAATAAAATTTTTTAATGAATTCATATTTGAAAATTCATGAAGTTCATCGATTATAAAATGCTGCTTTCAGATTCAGGACATCGTGCTGCGACCACTTGGTGAATCCTGGTAGTGAAACTAGCGGTCGCATCGCTACGTAGCGTTCCTCTGTCTCGTTTAACGCGTTAGCTGTCGCCATGATGTTTGAAAACGGTTTCCCTTGGACCGTAAATGTAATACGTAAATTCTTCTATTTCTTTGAAACTTCAATACAGTTCTACACTTCTACAATTCCAATTGTCAGTCTGAAATTCGGGCGATTGAATTTCCCGAAGACAAGTTCGCATTTTATCGTTGTTTATCCCGACACGCTTTACCTATATTGTTATCAGCAGTATGTTTTCACGTGATACGCCAATATGCGACGTAACCTCTCACCTGTTATTCAATCGATAAATACAGACTGTTAAAGAATTAACGAAAACGATGGAGATATTCGATTTGGCGGAAAAGAAGAAAGCTCTGGCACCACCGGAAATACGTTACACGAATCCCCATCGGGAAGCTATGAACGTGAGCTACACCCGTCGCTTTTCAATGATTACTCGTAGAAAGAATAATAAAATAAAAAGTGCAACCTAGTTGCAGCCGAGGAAATAGAATAAACTTTACAGTGTAAACTTATGAATATAAACTGTTACGTAGTCTTAAGGAATGGAATAAAATTTGTGGTAGAGACTAATCGACATGTAACCGAAATATTGAATAAAAATCCTATTAGACACTTCGTAATATCAATTACAGTTGAAAGTACTTTGGTCCCTTCAGAAACCGCTCACCAAGAACGAGGAAATGCGAGAAGCGAGGAGCTTGTACAAGCAAGCTTTAAAACTCATCCAAACTGAGGATGAATTAGGGGATGTAATCAAGATGATTAAAAAGGGATTGTTTTTGCATCCGAAATTCCATGGTTTCTATGGTTTGAACGGCGACGTTTATCGTCGTCAAGGTATTCCCGACGAATTTGCAGTAAATCATTCTCATATCTATAAAATTTCTTTTCATTCTGTTTACTTCTTAAATTCTAATCCTCAGTTTTTAACAAATATGACACGCATAATTTTGTTCTATTCTCACGAGAAACACATTATGATAATTTAAGGAAACTGGAACAAAGCTATAAAATACTACGAAATCGGAAGGCTAGCGACTAAGTTCGATGTAAGGCTCGAAGAGAACAAAGCGAAGGTTTTGTATAACGATAAGTTAATTGAGTGTTACTCGGAAAGAGGAAATTGCCGTTACGAGAACATGCGATTGCTCGATGCTCTGGGAGACTACGAGCAAGTGTTCCAGTTGGAATCGACCGTATCCAAGATCAATGTGCAGGTGAGGGTGCGATTGGTAAATAAGAGCTAAAGTGACTTAAACCTCTCCTTTTATAATTATTGAAAAGGCAGACATAGCTTTATGAGAAACTATTAAATAAATTGATTTAAATAAATCCAAACTAGAATATAAGCAAATCGAGATCTCAATTTTACTATTCGATAGTTCCAGTGTTATAGAAAATAATTAGTAAAATCTACGTAGGACAAACTTTTGGAAGTATTGCGAAAGCTGGGAAAATATGAATTGTTTCAACGTTATTGGCGACAGTTCGCTAACACCGCCGAGGATAATAGATTGTCCAATCTCTTAACTGTATACGCTGACTATAAAATCTACTTCAGGGACATGGCGATGGCTAGACGCATGTTGCTGAGAGCCCTAGATCTAAATAAGGACAATGTCCAGGCTCAGGGCTTGTTGCAAGTCCGTATCCATTATCAACGGTAGAAAAATTCATTTTAACGAAATTTTTAATCGGACAGGTGGTGTACAGCGCCGGTCACACGTTGACAGGGTACACAGTGATCTGGTGTATGCACGGTTGTTACGATAAGGGGTTGGTCACTATCGAGAAAGCGTTAGATTGCAACCCCTTTAATCCCGGATTCACTATGCTGAAAGCAATCGTGTTAAGGTTGTCCGGACGATTAGACGAAGCGACATCCTGGTTGGAAAGCGTCAGTCGGAATTTCAACAAGTTACTCGAACCCTCTAGGGACACTCAAGCTTCGATTCTAGGGGAGCTGTCGATCCACGAGACACGCAATGAAATGATGAAACAATGGTACCTAATACGGTAAAGATACAAATTCGAGTTATTAATGTATGAAGATTAGTTCTTATAAATTAAACAATACATGAAAATTAATTGACATAGATTAAATAATATACAAAGATTAATTAATACATAAAAATTGATAAATGAAGATAAAAATTCTAAATTCTAATTTACGACTCGAATCTTTCTACAAATCAATTCACAGATACGACAAAGCGATGCAGTGTATGCTTCAGGACAAGCTAGAAACTGCGGCGCGCATCATTGACAAGAGTAAATTAACCAAATTCTTCCCCGAATCGCATGTGTTACTCGGCGACTGCCACTTCAAGCAAGGAGACACTGATTCCGCATTGGAATCATATTTAAAGTATCGGAAAATGGCACAAGAATCGCAGTTGCCTGTTTCTCGAAAGGATGTAGAAGTGATCGAGAGGATAATGGACATCCTCAACGATCAGGCGGAAATGGCAGTGAAGCAGGAACGTTCGAGAGACGCGATTGAGCTTGCGGATCAAGCGCTTCTGATGTTAAACGAAGATAAATTAGATTTGAGTAAATTAGGAATGCAACGAGGACGCGCACTTTTTAATAAGACACGTGGGTTAATGCAAATGAATCGGAAATCGAAACGGAAAGATAAGAAATGCTGCGAAACTGGTGCTGAAAGTTTAAAGTTCCTTCGTGAGCCTTGTGATACGGGCTTGTATCGGTCCTTATACGGCGATAGATCTATTGAGGACACGATCGATCGGTTTGCGCCGAAGCAGGAACTTCCGCGATCTTTGAAAATCCTTATGCAATATTCTTAACTGTTCCTGTTGCATATTAATGATAAATTAAAATATAAATGTAAGAATATTTGTTCAATGTAAATCATTAAATATGAAATTATAATCCAGACTTGATTAACTTTATTATTTTTGTTTATATTTTGAAGATTTTCTCATGGAGAAACGTGAGAAAATAATGGTAGAATAATTGTTTAGCATTGAGAATTAATTAATTTTAATGTGCAAAATGTAATACTCACCACCCGGGCGTAAAACCTTCAAAAATAAACATCTGATGCAATACGTGTAACATGTTACTCTCTTGTTTATCGCTTTTTATCGTTATACTTAACACGCTGTAAATATACACGCGTATCTTAAGTACTATTTATGCATATGTTCTTTTTTTAAAAAATTCAATTAAACATCAACAGTGGCCACTGTCGGTGTCTAAATAAAAAATAAAATCTATAGGTGATAAGCTTAAAGAATAAAATGAATACCTTTGTAGAATCGTTCGACAAATCTTGTATCCTATTTATCTATTTCACGATGTCAATTGTTTCCTTCAAATCATAAAATGTAATGATTCCAGCACCACAAACCGGAAATGTGAAATCATTGTACACATCAAGCAAACCACATGTTTCAAGAAATTCAAAAATTTGTGAAATAGTTCAAACCCGGTTTGATGACTAAAATTATATCACTAATTAAACAGGATATACTACTTTATGCAGTTTACATGTTCGATAAATTTGAATTACACCTGTAATAATAAAGTAAAATACATTCTACAATGATTATTTGACTTTGCATTTAAAGGAAAATGTGAAAAGTCGATACATAACTAAAGCATCACTTTTCTCTATTTTTGTTTTGTAGAGTTAGGTAACTTGCCCAGTGAGTGGCTCATATATGTATGCAGGTGTTCTATAACGAGAGAAGAGCGATTGAACATTAATCTGTGGGAAATAACGTGCGCAGAAAAACACGTCTATCTGCGATCAGTTTCCAGGCGTCGTACGCCTCTGCCAATCATTTATTCCTTGTAAATAAGGTAATATTTACCCGCGCAGCCCGGTGAAATATCTTCGGCACGAAGATTAGCCCGCGACCCCAGTAATCTCGGGCCACAATTTCACTTTGGTATAAAAGGCGTCGGATGCGCACCGAAATACAAATCAATTTGGTGGTTCGAGTTCCACGCTTCGTTCGCTTTCGTCTACGTCGAAAAAGAAAAATCTTCTACAATCGCCATGGATCCGAAATTCTGGTCCGAGAAGATCGCCCTGATCACCGGCGCCAACTCTGGCATCGGCAAGTGCTTGGTCGAGTGCTTGGTCAGTAAGGGCATGAAGGTAGTAGGCATTGCTCGCACCATGGACAAGATGAAGGTACAATTTTCGTTACAATTGGCTTGAAGGAAAAATGAACGGTGTAGTTTAAGAGTATACAGTGATCTATAGGAGTGGACTTAATTTAATCAATTTTGTTTGCATCTTAAACGAGAAGTTAATGAAATAGTTGATACGGCTAAATTCAGTCTACGAGAATGTCCATTATGTTATAAGTATTTTCTTAATTTTATATTTCTTACAAATAGTTTTATAAACTCTACATAGTGCTGTAAAAATGATCATTCCCTTGATCAGCCTTTACTGTAGTAAACTTTTCAATTGTTTATTCGTCAGTACTGTACTTTCTTGGTTTACTGTAGCTACTAATTGACGACATTCTTTTTCACAGGCTCTCGCCGAGGAACTGAAAAATATGCCCGGCAAGCTCTTCCCTCTCCAATGCGATCTCTCCAACCAAAACGACATCCTTCGTGCATTAGACTGGATCGAGAAGAACTTGGGAGCCGTTGACATTCTCGTAAATAATGCTGCCATCAACATTGATCTCACTCTGCAGACCGGCGAAATGGAAGACTGGAAGAAGATCTTGGACGTGAACTTCTTGGGACTGACATGCATCACTAAAGAGGTCTTGAAGCTGATGAAAAAGAAGGGTGAGATAATTTACAAGTGAAAGAGCGAATACTTTTCCATTGCTCAGTTAGTGTGCAGAGATACGTTGCAACATTTCAATACGATGTCTCATTAGAAAAGTCGGATAATTCCGCTACTAGTACGCAAACTTTCATTGCGAAATTAATTGTATAATCGCAATTACACAATTCTAGGAATTGACAACGGTATGATCGTGAACATCAACGACGTATGTGGATTGAAGCTGCCAATCAACTGTGATCGCCCGGTGTCGCCAGCTTACATCGCCAGCAAATTCGCTCTGACCGCTTTGACAGAGTGTCTCCGCTCAGAATTGGCGCAGCTTATGTCAAACATCAAAGTTATCGTGAGTGTCCCAGTTCAATTACAATCAGAGCTTCTAGGGCAATTAAGTTTTGCGACTAACAAACATCGATTCTTCTGTTGCAGTCCATTTCACCTGGTTTGGTGGAGACC